TACCATACTTAAATACAGGTGTCTGCAGATGAGTGTCTGAAAAGTCAGTGTCCATTTCGAAGTGTAAGAGTAGTTCTTCAAGCTCCTCTGCCTGTATTGCCCTGACCTCCACTGACTCAGGCAGGCTTTAGGTGGACAGCTAAGAGATCTAAATTTAGGCTTCTACATCTGGAGCTAACATAGATGTCTATGACATAAAGTCAGTGGTAGGTTTAACATTATCCTTAATGATATTGGACCAAACATAGTCATAAAGCTTGATTATACAATATCTTCTTCTACTCTGAGCACTGCTTGAGTTCTAAGAGACTTAATGTGGGAAAAGACAGCTGAATCTGAACTGTGATGAATCTGCTGGAAAAGGTACTAATTTGGAATATCAAAATAAGACAGTAATATTTCACACTTCTCTCTCTTTTTTTTTTTCTTTTCTTTGCAGTGATTTCAAGTAATTATCAGACCTGTTTGGGACTTCTGATGCACTATCCACCTATTGGAGATGTTCATTCCCTTATCTTAAGAGCACTTTTTCTCCGAGATCCAAAGGTAAGATGCTCACTTTGTAAATAGAGAGATTAATAAAATGTAATAAAATGTTCTAAATACTATGAAGTTAATAACAACTTACATTTTCAGGACTAAACTGTAATTTCAAGTTTCTTCTTACTTGGCAAAAAAGCTGAAGGAAAGAGTTCGTAACGAAGAATAGAAACAAGTTCCTTTACTCTTTAAAGCATACTATCCTACTACTTTGCTAAAGTTATCCAGGAGCTCTAGTAACTGTGGATTTTATGCTCTTTAGAATATCTTTGCTTGGTATTCTGCACAGACATCTTTCATAATAAAGTGTGCTTTTGAGGGAAACAGCAATATTTTATATAATAACTTAGTAAGCTGTATAGAAACTGTCATGCAATTTCATCTCTAAGACCTTTTTCATGGGATTTCCACAGATTAATCACTGTTAATCCTTAAAGCACTACCCTCATCTAGAGTTATGTGATGGTTTTCAATTAAAAATGAGAGTCTGCTCTTACTGCCTGAAAAGATTCACATGAATAAAATGTATAAATTCTTAGATTTTATGTTACATATTACTACCATACAGTTTCTGATATACTCATCTATACTAAAAAAAAAAAAGCAAATTTCTTGCTGTTTTAGAATGGCATGTGTATATGTGTGGATGTAATATACAGCAGATATCCACAGTATAGTGGATAAAGTGTTTGAGATTAAGCTGTACACAGTAATCTTTGCAGTACTCAGATCTTTGGCAGATAGCAGAGTTTGTGCTGAGTGTTTTGAACTGTCTTTGTGCATGTCCCATTAGTAGGCTGCCAGTGTAAATTCTGATTTCCCTCATCTTCTTGATGCACATCACCTTTGAAAGCGAAAAATTCATCACTTCTGCACTCTGTCTGCCTTCTGCAAAATTTCATTCACTACCAATGTTTACACTTTTATGGATTAAGAAAAAAAAATATCTCTTTGTTTCTATATCATTTTGCAGAAATCTGCATCCTTACAGCTGCTTTCTTCATTCCTCTCAGGCACAAAGATTTCTTTCATGATGAGAAAGTAAAGTATATTGTCTTTTTAGTGTGTAAGAAAGTTTGTAACGTTGGATCTCAGGAATCTTAGGATTTCAGCAGCAGTCTGTGAAACCCGACTGCCCAGCATTGATTTACATACTTACTTAGCAAAACAAGATAGAAGTATTCTTTAGAGGGAGGAAAATTGTGCTAAGATATAAAGCTAAATCCAATATGTAATTTGTCATTTACTCAAGATACGTATTAAAAGATAGAATAATTACTCATTATTTAACTATCTTCTGAAGCATCCGAGGCAGTATATGAGATATCTACCAACTGAAGAGGGCAAAAATAAACCACCAGCTTCCCATGAAAGAAGCTTGATCACTGTTCTGCTACTTACACTCTTGTCTCCAACAGAATGAAATTGTAAGGCTCATAAGGTCTCAGTGTCCTATTAATTAACATTCTCAGGTATGCTTTGTCTTCAGGTAGTTCTCTCTTCACTTAGGTGACCGAACGTACTGAAAGTTCTTTAATGCAAAGACTACTAGCTGTTTTATCATTTAAAATATGATTAATTACAATTGTTCCTTATTTCTGAGCTGTACTTATCTGCTTGGGAAATACTCTGAAAGTTAAGAAGCTGAGATTTCCAGATAATTAAGAGCCCTAAGGGACTTCCAGCCACTTCTCGTTTTACATTGGATCTTTGGGATAAGACTGCATAAACAGACTGGACTTCTTACACTAAGGAAGTTAAACTGATCTAACGAATCACTGTAAAAGACAAAAAATAGCTCCTCGTCTAAGAAGGAAATGTATTTTCAGTGCTATAACTTGAGTAGCTGTTTCTTAACTTTCCCTAGGTATGATATTAAGTTTCACTTATTTGTCTTTAAGCATATCTTGGTTCAATACAATGTATTTCTGAAATGGAAGTCTTGTTATTCTGTAAGACCTGCACAGAAAAATTTTCCATGTGTGTCAAAATTTTTCATTAAACAGAACAAAAAGGAAAACTCAACAAGACAGCATGGGTACTGTAGGAGTCTGAAGTCAGTACACAGATTATATACAAATATAAGTGGGAAAATTATGATACCTTTTTTTTTTGCTATCTGCACAAAGATAATTCAGTTTGCCTTTATTCCCTGAGCAGATAAAAGGCAGATTGGAAGAACAGATAAGGAGATTTTAGTCAGTAGTGTAACTCGTTAGTGATGATTAGCAAATTCAGTGCTTAATGATTTTTCTTCCTCCTTTGATGTTTTCCTGTGCATTTCTCTGTCACCAGCTTCTGGTTTCTAATGGGAAATTACATTTGGTTCAGTGCAATTTAGGTCTCCTGAGCCAGGGCTGAGTTGTTCTGTGTGGCATTTCTTCCAAGTTTTCACTTGGGTTTTAATATGTGAAGTCAGGGAACTCTTCTGTGGGAGACTGTTGAATGGTCCAGTGGGTTATTTCATTATTTGTTGAACGTAGCAAGAATGTTTAGTGTTGTTCCAAATATCTGAGAGAGGTTTGCTCTCTGCCCCTTGAAGCTTTAAATCTCAGCTGGACAAGAAATGCAGTTTAGAAGTAATGGACAGGGACAAACAGGAATCTGCCTTGTGCACGTTTGTTGATATGTATTGTCTTTGGGATTATTTTGCAGCTAGATAAATGCCAAAGAATCTCACTGAGGGGAAGTTGTGGAGTAATCGGACTGAGAAAGATTGGCGGTATATACATAAAACTGAAAGGTTCTTAAGGAACAATGGGGAAGTAGTTAAGATGGACCTTATACAGCATTTCCATCCATAACCTCCAATTCTGGAGATAATCTGAGTTTGCATGTATAATAACATCCATTATTTATTCTATTTCCTTGGTCTGACATAACAAATGTCTCCTCCTTACTTATTTCTCTTGTAGACTACCAGGACAGCGTGACAAACCTGTCACGTTTTGTTTGTGTCTTTTCACTGCAGTCATAGAATCACAGAATCATAGAATGGTTTGGGTTGGAAGGGTCTTTAAAGATCATGTAGTTCCAACCTCCTGCCATGGGCAGGGACACCTTCCACTAGATCAGGTTGCTCAAAGCCCCAGCCAACCTGGCCAACGCTTCCAGAGATGGAGCATCCACAATTTCTCTGGGCAACCTCTTCCAGTGCCTCACCACCCTCAGAGTGAAGAATTTCTTCCTTAGATCTGATATAAATCTACCCTCTTTCAGTTTAAACCATAGCCCCTTGTCCTATCTCTACATGCCCTTGTGAAAAACCCCTCTCCAGCTTTCCTGTAGGCTCCCTTTAGTTACTGGAAGGCTGCTATACGGTGTCCCCAGAGCCTTCTCTTCTCCAGGCTGAACAACCCCAACTCGGCGTGTTTTCATAGGAGAGGTGCTCCAGCTCTCTGATCATCTTCGTGGCCCTCCTCTGGACTCGCTTATCACCAGGAGAGCAACCTAAATGTCAAAATAAAGCTATACTTAAAAGATGGGTGGCATTTTTGTCATATAGATGGACAAATAAATTTCCTGATCTTTTGTGGAATCAAACCTTAGCAGAAGCCTTAGCATTATCCAGTAATAACAATAATATAACAAGTAATCAGTGCTTGCCATTAATCTAATGCATGCAGCGGCTCTCCTTTTCACTTTGTGAACCCCAGTTGGCAGTTGGGATGAGAGAACATTTTAGATACCACATCTCTGATATATTCCAGTGCCACAGAAGAGAAATACACATCTCCTTAATAGCTGAAAACAAGTTAATGCACCTGTCTCTGAAGGGGAGCATGAGAGATACTAATTTTACAGGCATGAGTATGTATCAATGTAGAATAATTGAATTCCAGCCTTTTCTGCATTTGGCTAGCTCCAGTTCCTAGGAAAACGTAGACTGAAAAGCTCAAATCAGTGTTGTTGTCTTTGCATAGGCTGATAAAGTTAACCTGCTTAGCAGAGTATTTGTTTCACATTTCTAATCTTTGAACAGATAATTACCTCAATTATTTATACAAAAGTAACTTCTATGCACTTATAGTCCTTCTGAATATAAAAGTAGAGCTTCTTACGGAAGAATGGACTATTAAAAGTATGTATATGTGAAATGAGAAAATAAGGAAAGGTTTTTTTTCTGTATATCCAAAAGCATTTACTGAAGGTGTGTCTCTGTGTATTTAATATCCCACAAGTGGCCAATTTTCTTCATTTTTTTTCTTATCGAAACCACTGAGCACTGTTAATTTTCAAAGCAAAGGCTGCAAAATTAAAAAGTAGAGTTACGGAGATAGGGCAGTAGAAAAATATAAAGTGATTAAAAAACATAGTTCTAACTAGAGTTGTTCGAATAAAAAAAAAAAATTTAAAAACCCAATTAGAAACAAAAGTCATAGAAAATGTGAACATATTGTGTTCCTTAAATAACCAGATGTTCTTTCCTTCCTGAAGGCAGCCAGGGCTAGGAATAAAAGGTTTAAAACTATTGTTTTAAGTTAACTGTGAATTTTGCAAATCTGTTTTCACCCTTTAGCAAATAAAATTCTAATACAGCAACATAAGCAAAGTAATTTTCGTCTTTGGGTGTTCTTATTTGTATGTTGTTCCATGTTGAAGTGTTAACCTTATCACAATGACTTATAGAAAACTAAAGCACTACATAGAATATTACAGTTTTACAGTGCATACTGAGAACCTGACAACCATCCTTTGTCTGAAAGCTTACTGTATTTATTTTTAATATTTTTGTAAAGTAAGTTTTCTTATAGATATTTTAATGTGGTGAGTTACCCTGTTTATTGAGCAAGCTAGTTAGGAGCTTAATTCAGTGGAGACACCTTTTATCATAAGCCATCGATTCAAAAAAAGAAAAAATAACATGTTGTGCTTGGTTGATGGGAATTTTGTTAGTTACACTAATAATATTCTAGTTACTGCTGCTGATATTTTCTCAACATTGTATTTTAAGCTATTTGCTGACACTGAAAGTGGCCGTATATTAATATTAAATTCTAACTAAA